GGGGCGTGGCCAAGTGGTAAGGCAACGGGTTTTGGTCCCGCTATTCGGAGGTTCGAATCCTTCCGTCCCAGAACATATATATTCTATGAGAATATAGATTGCTTTTTTAACAATGTTCTGTTTAAAATCGAAATGTTAGCTGGAATGTGATTCTTGTTTCTGATTTTTTTCTTCGATGAATCATTTTTTTTTTTCAAAAACTGAATCGAGATGCGAAAGAATCTATATTCCCTATCTCGTATTCTCTATCCCCTAAATTAGCCTAATTAGATTCAATTTTCTTTTTTGTGGATTTCTTGACTTTTCGCCAAGAGGGGGTTTTTGGTACTAATTAAATTCACTAAGTCTCTTAATTCTTAATCAATGAGTTAGGCTAAAATATCAAAAAATAGGAGCAAAAACTTGACTTAATCTGGACTTGTTTGGCTTTGTGCCTAGACAGCTCGCATTTCGTAAAAATCAAAAAGACTAGGACACCCCCTTCTTTTCTTTTGATTTATGCTGCATCAGTCCCATAGAATGGGGTAGATAGGAGTTAATCAGTAATGGGAAGGCATTCATTTCAATATCTATAAACGGTGACAATTGCTCAGTCTATTTGATCGAATTGATAGATACGAAACCCTCCCCATTCTTTGGATTTTATCAATCAGATGAAAAAAAAAAAAAAGAATAAGAATTAAAATCTTACCTTATATTAATCTTTTTTTATCCATCTCATAAAAAAAAATTGGATTTGTTGTTTGCTGTATTTATCTATTATAGATCATTGAAAATCGTTGATGATTCAATTAAAAAAGAAAGACTTATTGATTTTGAGTTGCTGGTTGTATTGTGTTGTTGTCTCGCCTATAGTCAACTTGAGGGAGCAGTAAAATCAGGGGGAAATGCTGCCCGTTTTATTTTAGAATCGAGTTATCGTTTGAGATACATGGTATACTAGCTCCATCTAAGTTGTACATGGATTTCTTTGTTATAGGACTGGTGCGCTAGTTGTCGTAAGTTTGTTATTGAGTTGTATTGACGACTTGAGGGATGTTAAGGCTATCCCTTCTTTTCTTTTGGCATGATCCATATGATACAACGAAATGAGCAAGCACGCAACTTTCACAAATGATTCTATTCCTAGAAGTACTAGGGTTGCCTATGTTCTTAATTCCCCATATGTCCTACTATCATCCGTTCATGGGTCTCATGACATTCCGAGAGATCTTATTGACTTACTTCATTATGCATTGCATTCATTTATATATGTATATTGACCCATGACTAGATGGAGTTATATACGCGTATAGTATATTTATATGGGGTATGGGGAAAGGTTATGACGTTATATACGCAACACTACCTGATCAACTAGCATAGGTTAATGATTTCGTCCACAGAGGCCGATATGATATGATGGGTTGCTCTAAGAGGCTTGATGATTTCATGTACGCATATACCTATGCATGATATGGCATTTATATGCACATGTATTGACACTATAAATGTTTCATGATTCAGAAAGCTATTCAGACTTACAGGCTGAGTACTTTACTCCATGTTTCTTTAATGTCTTTTATATACTTATTTTTATGCCTTACATACTCGGTACATTATTTGTATTAACGCCCCTATTGCTGGGGGCCTGAGTTTCATGCATATATATATATATATATATATATATATATATATATATATGTCTTTTGGGCATGTTTTCCCGCATATGTTATTCACATGAATCAGTAGTTATTTGTCAGACGTTATGCATGACCTACACTTATTTCATGTTTATATTCAGACGTATTCTTAGGGGTGTTCGACAGGTAGAACTCCGACACTCGTCACGGCCCATCGGTTTGGTCGTGACACTCACTAAGAGCCTTGTACATGTTCTTCTTCCGGACCTGCTCTTTGAACTCGAACTTGAGCTGGCTAACCTCCGAGTGGTACCGGAGGAAGCTTTCGTGATGAAGCACTGGAGCTTGAAAAACAATAAAGTTAGTAAAGGACATCAAAGTCTAAAGAATGATTCACAAAGAGATAATAGGGGCTGATGCCTTACCCGATTTAGCGCCTGTTGCGCCTCGTTGAAGAGGCTCAACGTGCCCACCTCGTTCATCTTGGTCTGGTCCTCCTCGATCACTAGGCATCGGAGGTAGCTGGCTGTGCCCACCGGAGCAGACAAGACCAAGGGGTCCTCTGAGACTCTGAGAACAACCGTTCTCTTGCGCTCGGGGTCCACACTCGGCGCGTGAAATTGCTTCACTAATCTTGGGCTCGAACTCGGCCCGCCAACTACCAATGGCACATCCTTCTTCGAGACCTCCAGGTGACCAAGCCCAAAAAAATCCTCCAATATAGCCATGTCCATGCCGTCGAAAAATGAGTTGAGGGGATCATCTGGGCCTTGCGCTCCTTCACTTGACTTTTCTTTGCCTGCTTGGGCCTACTCGAGCATAGACTCGGTGTAGGAGGGCGTTTCCATGATGTCAATGACACCGGTCGCCTTCTTCGAAATAGGAGCGGCTTCCTGGGAGGCTGCATCTTCCATCTCCCCCTCAGGTTCCCGAGTTAGAAGAGGATCGTCCTCGTGGTCCTTTTTCTCTGTCGTTGCCTGCTCCCCAGTAGGGGTCGACCCATGAGCAACAAAGATGTCGTCTTCTTAGGGCTCATCCCTAAGCTGGTAGAGAAAGTCGGGGTCCGGTACCTTCAACTTGGGGTTCTTCTTGGGCTTCTGGACCCGGGTAGCCGCCCTCTTCTTCCTCTTCGCCTCGGGATCCGGGGAACCCGAGGGCTTTCTCTTTTTCTTCTTCACGGTAGCCCTGGGTTTTCCCTTAACGGAGGGTTCGATAAGCAAGGTCGGATCCTCGTCCTCATCCAGCGGCCTAAGTTCGATGGTCTTAGGCAGACTTATAAAAAAAGAGAAAAGGTTAGCATTGTACAAGTTAAGAGCGTGATAGTAACTATTCAGGGAAGAACCTCACCATGAGAACAGGCCTCCCATTTGCCCTTCGAGAGCTTGCGCCATGCGCGCTCGGAGTACAACATCTGCTTATGAATCCCCTCGATCCACTTCTTGAATCGAGGGATCGCATCAGGAACTGGGGCAACAGCTGCACGACCACAAACACAGGCGATGAGAAAAAGAAATACCCAAGAAAGAAAATACTTACGGGATGTGTTCTACTCCTCGGGGAACGACAAAAACTCTGGGGGGAGGGGGATCAGGTCTTCAGTTTTCACCAGAAAAAACTTCCCTTGCCAGCCTCGGTCCTCGTCAACGCTCGAGAAAAGGATCCTTTCTTGCTCGGTGAACGAGCTTGATCAGTCCCCCTCGGAAGATTTGGGGACTGTACAGATGGAGTAGGTGGTCGAGGGTAAACCGAGGAGATTCGGTGTTGTTCACAAAATAGCATAAGAGGATCACGATCCTCCAGAAGGACGAGTGGATTTGCCCAAGACATACCTCGTACCTCCTGCAGAAAGCAAGAACTATGGGGTCCGCAGGGGCGATCGTGAAGGGGTAAGTGTAAAAACTCAAGTACCCCTTCACATGAGTAGTAATATCATCATTGGGCACGGGGATGACCACGTCCTTACCCTCTCATTTACAGTCCGCTCGGACTACGGGTAGGGTATCTTCAGTGACGGAGCATATGTATCTCCATGCTCCCTCGCCTCGGTCTTTTTGACTATAGGCCTTCTCGACCTTGAAGTCATCCCATATAGAGCATCCCCCAGGTATAAAGCTCTTCATGGGGGGGGGGGGGGCTCCTGATCCACATCGAGAACGTCCACCTCAGCATCTACGGCCGGGTGGGAAGATGAAGGGATGGCCTGCTGAGGCAGTAACTTGGAAGTTTTAGCCATTATAATCTGTAAAATATAGGTCTGAGGAAAAATATGGAGATCTAAAGATGGTATGAAAGTATAAAGGTCTGGGATGAAGGTTCAAAGAAGAAGTACGAAGATGAAGATGAAGATATGAAGGCTCAATGAACAATGTAGGAATATTTGGAGAATTTAAAGGCCGTTAGAACGTTCGAAGGAAAAGTCTAGAATCGGAAAATTGAAGAAGTGAAGAGGGTTGATGCTTTTATAGGGGAAAATGCAATCAATGCGCGACGTTTCACATTCGAAGACAGCCAGCCGATGACCGACACATGTCCAAAGTCAGAACGACGCAACTGATGAGACGTTTCGATTTACCCGTCATCTCAGTTATAACGTACGAGGGAAGAAACTGGGGTTCATCTATTCGTTTCCCATCGTTCTAGCAAACCTACACTCCAAAAAACGAGGGGACTATCTGTATACGAGTAAAATAGGGGACAACACATACCCCAATTTTCCGGTGAAGAGACGAAAGAAGGGAACGAACGCACGAGGTTGAAATCGAGGCTGGGAGCAATTCGTACCAAGACCCATGAAAGGTGAACGATGTGCTCATCGTCGGGCGTGATATAGCAATGCTCCCCGGACCCAAAACGAGCTCTAAGACCTTGGAAAATATGGCAAACGGTTATACATGACGAACAGAGGGCTGTGATATCCGTACCTAACTGGATATCACGGTGCAGATCTCGCCCGATGTCGATTGCGGATAAGTAATTAACGAGAAAAGAGGATTTTTACCTTTTTTAGACTTGTACTAGGATGAAACTATCCTACTAGGGGAAGTTTTTCTTTGATAACGGAGGGGGTAATTCGCAAATCAAGTCAATACAAATTCATTCTCTGCTTTCTAGCTATTGTAAAAGCTCTTACTTAATTATCTTGTTCTTTATTCGTAATTGGGTTCGAACCAAGGGACCTATCTTGATTATTTGTATTGAATCAATCAACATATCTTTAAAATCGCATACAAATTTAATTGTTATCCGTTTTAATATCCGTTTTAAGGGTAAACAATAGTCGTTAAATTTAGTATACAATATACATCTATTTTTATTAATTCTTTCTGCTCTTTTTTATATTGAAATGAAACTATTGCACCGGAAGGGTATGTATACTAGTAAAATCTTAAAATTCAGGGGTAGAGGGGCAATGTAGCAGTTCTGGGTTGCCGATTTGAATCGTTGAGGGAAGAAAGTAGAAGGAAGTGTGACGAAATGACAAAGAATAGGATTCCAATATGGATATGCGTATTTCCCCGCCATGAAAAAGAAAAGAATCGGTTCTTGCTTTCTCTTTGATTTCAATTTCCAATAATAATATTTAGTATAAATTATTGACCTGCAAAGCAATTGACCCCTCATCGCAATTTCGGTAATTGTTGCTCATCTAACACTATTACATGTTTCTGTTAATATCTCCTATCTGGGTCAGTTTCTCTTTCTTAGAATGATCATAAAGCTCGGTTCTTTTTTTTCATATCCGTTATGTTATTTCTAGTGTCCATTTTAGGGCCCTTTTTCTCCAGCTCAATTGAGTTGCAGACTTTGTATTCGTTTGCAAAATTAGCTCTTCTGGCCAGAGGCGAATGCAGTGTAGTTCAAACTGACCCACTACTTTTTACTCACAACATAAATTACTTTTGAACCCATAATTGCAAATTTTCTATAGATTTAGTGGTGAGAACATAAAAATTTGAAACCATCAGAATTATATCTTTAATTAGCCTCTGCTTCTGCCAAATAGCAAAGATGGAATAAAGGGGCGAAGGGTTGTGGAACTCTTATTTCGTGCTATTAGTTTATTGCTTAAAACTAATATCTGGATATTAGGAACGGAGCACCCAAATTTGCAAGGTATGTAGATACTTAGAGCTTCGTGCTGACTCCTGTCTTCACAGTCTAGTGTGAAGGTCAGAAGCTCAAATAGTCTTAAGTTTGTCATCAATCATTTCGACAGACTCCCAACTCGTAAATATGTTGATCCCAACCTGTTTGCTTCAGCATTTAATATAGACGTAAGCTTGCACCATTTAAATTTGAATATTTTTGGTGTTGCACAAGTTGTAGATCATGTTCTTATGCTTTGAGAATTAAGTGTAGGCGATGTAGATTTTCACTTGTAATTTTGACAACTTGTATCCTAGTGTACAAGTGTTCTTTTTTATTATCTTGAATCCACTTTTCATATTAGAAATCTGGATAAAAACTCTTCTGCTCATAGATGACGCCAGTGTGCTTCTTTGGGAACTTATACATATTGGCTTCCTCTTTCTAATCTGCAGTAGATATCTTTGCATTGCTGAAAGTTGCTGGAGCTCAAACGAAAGCCGCAAGCGCACTCTTTAAGATGACATCCCTGTGAAGCTTGTTTTTTTTAACCGCTTGATATGTAAGAAGGAATTGATGAAGAGCAAGAAATGAACTCCGGCCTTGCCGAGACTGCATGGTCATTGCATTTGATATTGCTTACATGGAGATAGCACTCCTCATACGAATTTTCAAATACACCAAGTCTTTGCCCGGGGATCGATGCCATTTTTTTCAATGCTGAACCTCAAATTCTCCCACAATGCGCACATACAATTTAGGCCTATACGACCTTCTGATCTGGAAGTACTGGAGAAACTCCATGGGGATATGTTCCCCATCAGGTCAGATGATCCCTTCTTTCTCGTCACTTTCACTATTTGATGTTAGATAAATGACATCTGAAGTCCCCAAAAAAATTCTTTATTCGTTTACCAAAGTGAAGTTGGTCTATTAGTTAGATCTGTATTTATTGTTAGCCCCACTTTTGGTATTTAGATATGAATCTGAGTTCTTCCAAAATGTCGTTAATGGCCGGGATATTATTTCCTGGGGAGCTGTCGATTGCAATCAGCCCAATGGTCAAGATGACGAACTTATTGGATTTGTGACGGCCCGGATCGTTCTAGCAAAAGACAGTGAGGTGCGTCTTTTGCTCTTTCACAAGTAATTCTTTCTTATGGACTGTTGTTAATTTTGAATCACCCTTATCTATAGATAGAAGATTTTCTCAGAAATGACTCTGCTAGGTCGAACCACACACTGGTTTACATCCTAACACTGGGAGTTGCAGAAGGTTATAGAAATCTTGGAATAGGTGCGCACTTGGTTCTTGCGTATGTACTCTATTTTGTAATTCTATCCTTCAATCAGGATTTACCAAGTATTGCTATGGTTTTTGGTTTTCAGCTAGCTCTCTAATTCACGAGGTAATAAAATATGCCTCAACAATCCCAACTTGCCGAGCAGTTTACCTACACGTGATCTCGTACAACAACCCAGCCATATATTTGTATAAGAAGATGTCCTTTCAGTGTATAAGAAGGTTACCTGCTTTTTATTTTATTAACAGCCAGCACTATGATGCGTACTTGTTTATCTACTACATGAGTGGTGGTCGCTCTCCTTGCTCGCCAATGTAAGTACAGCTTTCCTTTTTGTTTGAACTTATTTTGATATTAGGTTCCCTATTTGGCGGGTTTGTCACTTCTGAAAATTATACTGGTAGAAACTCCATGTATCATGATCCCTTCAAAGGTTCTAAAGAAGATAACTTCCAAAAGGATTAGCATTTTGGAGTAAAAGACATAAAGCACCATGAGGGATGATTTCTCAAACTAACAGTTTTCAACATAATATGTTGATCATGGGTGAGTATTGCTATAAGATTACTTTTTTGGGTGATAAGGTGCAGTTAGATGTTTGCTAGAGAGACAACGAAGCAGATCTGCATTATTCCAGTTATTGTTTCCTTCTCTGCTCTTGGACTAGTACAATTTTGAATCTCCCCAAGTTTATTTTTGGGGAATGTAAAACGCCGTATGCATTAAATGTTAATCTGATATGCTAGTATGAAGCTTGTTTTCTGAATTGAGTATCTAGCTTTTTCCCCCCTTTGAAGAAAGATCATAATTAACATGCACCAAAATGTTACAAAGATCAGTGTTGATATACATTGGTGAATATGAAGAGATTGATTGCTTACTTGCATTTGGAACATACATGAAACTATAACTGGTATATAACATAGCCCCTCTGTCCCAATTTATGTGACTCTTTTTGCTTTTCGAGATTCAAACTTCTTAATTTTGACCATGCATTTGGATGGAATTTTCAAAATAAAATTTACATAATTGAAGATTACGTAAAAAGTATTATACTATAATTAATAATTCAAAATATTTAAAAGGCATGTGAAAAAATTATGGTCAAACAATAATTCGTTTGACTCTCGAAATCCGAACACCTTCACATAAATTGGAATGAGGGAGTATATAGCTAGAAGAGGACCTGGTAACCTGTGGCAGACAGGGGCGGATTTAGGGTGGTGCAAGGGTGTTCACCCAAACTCCTTTCGCCAAAAAATTACACTATGTATATAAGGCAAAATCTGGTTTTTACCTCTATATATTATGTTTTGAATCCTCTTCACACAGCCCAAAAGCATGGCTCAGTGGTCAAGGGGGTTCAAAACCATTATGAGGTCATTGGTTCAATTCCCACTAGCTACAATCTCTTTAAATTTTTTAACTTATTCCTTTTTTGAACCCCCTTAGCAGAAGTCCTGCCTCCGCCACTGGTGGCAGACTCAAAAGGTTTGAGATTAGCGTGTCAATTATTTATGAGTTGTTAGATTTTTCTTTTTTCTTTTGTCCGCACCCCCCCCCCCAAAAGGTTTGAGATTAGACAAACCCCCCAAAAAATAATAATAATAATAATAATTAATAGCACAAATTAAGAGCTTCACCAGGTAGGTGATTGTTGTAAGCAAGGTTTTCCATCTAAGACATTACCTTACCTTATCATAGAAAAAGGTTTATCCATCAAAGCCAGTATAATCATTGGATTAAATTCCATTAACCCCCCTGACCTTTAATAGGTGGGAAACAATACCCCTCCACCTTTTGAATGGGATCGATAATCCCCTCGAGTATTATTTTCCGGTGAGTGTTAGAATTGAAACAGTCTTCTTTTTTCTTTTTGCTTGGAGATTCAATAAACAAAACATATGATCTGCTACTTTGAAGGAATGCATGCATATCTAATAGTCTACTTCCGCAAAGAAACATTTGATCAGAATGCAAAATCATGTATAACACAGGAAGCAACAAACGAAATAATTTTTTTCAATGATTTAAGACAGTACCTGATCCCATGAAGAAGGCTATGAAGAAAACTTTGTAAACATATTTGGCTTCTCGTTTTGTTTTAAGAGGCATTCACAGTATACATTCAGTCAAATTTTCTTTTGATGCTTTGTTAATTTTGAAAGATATTTACAGAGATTAAGAAAAAAAAAGGAACTAAATGATCATGCATGATACTGTGGAACCATAATTTAGCTAAACAACACCCGAATTTTCCTACAATGGTTTAAAGAAATGTGTTCTTGATGCATCAATTTTTCACTGAGGATGTAGCTCAGATTCTCAAGTTCATTTCTGATCCTTGTTAACAGAGGCGGACCTAGGATTTTAACGCGAGGGGCACCGGTATTGTGCTCAACTAGTGCACCCTAAAGGCTTTTATGTATTTTAAGGATACACATAGGTCCATCTCTGCTTGTTAAGTTCTGTGTTTTACTGCATCAAATCAATGGATGATAGAGCATGCTATTCATTGGAATGAGCTTAAAAATGAAATTGATCATAGATACATTGATGGTAAAAATTATTAAAATCACCTGTTTATTGAACCTTTAACAAAAAGAAAAAAAGAAAGGAAAGTTGTTTATAATTCTAAAACTCATCGGAAAATGCAATTTAAGGGGGTTATCAGTTCTATTCAAAAGATGGAGGGGTAATTGTTTCCCAACCATTAAAGGTTAAGGGGGTTTAGTGGGATTTATTCTAATAAATGCTGCTTTGTGAATCTAAATGTGAAGAAAGCAGGAAAACATTTAGAACTTTATATTATGATTGCTTATTCGATTTTGTCGTTGTTTTGAAGAATAAATATATTTACTTAGCTGTCTGCTGTGTGGATATTTTGTGAAAATTTCTTGGATTAATAGAGCATCAAACATGCACGTAGTTCACAGAGATGCCTTTCCTTTAGGAGTGTCATTGTATTCCAGATCTTTAATCTCCTTCAAAGAAAAAGGAGCAGAGTTTGGATTTCTTGGTTTTAGCTGGAAAAAGATTAAAGACAATCTTGAAAATGCTATAGTGCTGAAAATCTCATCCCTGAAAACCTGATTAGAGAGCAATAGGTGTCAATGCCCATGTGGATTGTGAAACCTCATTAGAAATGCTCTGTTTAAGGATTCAGTATATTCTGAATGGGTTTATAACAAAGTAAAGGTAATCACATTCCCAAACCCTAAGACCAACAAAAGTCATGCAAAGGGGATATCTTTATATTCCAGCTACAACACTTGGTCTGAGCCCATCGGCTTCAACCTCTGTGGGCAGGATTACCTTGAGTCCTTGACAACCTACGCCAGTGAGTTGGATAATGTTACCTGGTAGATTAGTCGAGGTATGGTCAAGTTGGTCCAAGAAATATTGATGTTAAAGAAAATGATAGCTCTAATATCGGTGTATAAGTTTTTTTTTGACGATCTTCTTCATGCACCTTTGAGCTAGTGCAGATTACTGATATTCTTTTAGTACCGTGATAATAGTGATCAAATATGCACAATTCACCTACATAATGCATGGAAGTTGAAGATTCCTTATTTGAATTTAGAATTAAATTTATCTTTTGCACATTGCAAATGATGAACAATCAAGGCACAATTTCTCATTGAGTTGAAATGAATGGCAGTTTGCTGGCCCAAACAAAGCTAAGAGAGTAAATTTCTTAACTATTGACAACTTTACCTTTTGAATTTCAGTGAGCTCATTGCGCTTTTAGTCACTTATGCAAAGAGTGGATTCAAGAAGGCGGCAGCAAAACTGTGGAGGAATGAAAGCAGAAAGCCCTTAAAGTTGCCGAAATGCAAGGAGTCTGGTTGCCTTCTCCCAGCAAAACAGAACAAAAGGATGTTGCCTGAGGGTTCTCGGTCTCAATTTGTATGATCTTCTCATACATTTTAGTCTATACTGGAAAATGGTCCTAAAGGTCAGAGGGAGTGTAGTCGTCTTCTGTCTCCTGTTTCTTATTGAAGTTTGCCTTTTACCTGTACTTATATTAAAGAAACTTATGTAATATTTTCGGCTTCTATCCCTGTTAATTACTAGTTGATTTGTAAATTCTTGTAAAAAGTCACCTAATAAAGTTAATGTCAGATATTTTCTTTTGTTCCTCTGCGTTACTCACTCACATTTATGAGATGCAGTATTGAAAATTTGTGAGAAAGTATTTCCCTCTTTTCACATTTGGATTCCACAACTGTGACTGATGAATATAATCTTGATGACAGCATAATATGTTGCCCTCCTATCTTTACATGAATCCTTAGAAGGGCAAACTTCTTGAGAAGATTCCGCTGCTCTAGTCTCTGACAACTAATGAATGTTGTATGGTACGCTACTGAGTTGCTAATGAATAAACTTGAGCCTGTCATTCCTTTGTTGTTATTGCAATTACTATATTTCAAGAGGTTTCTCCCACCATTATTAAGTTTTACGTTTGTTTGAATATCTCACATATTTTAACGGGTTAAACTTAAGACTCTTTTCATCTTTGTATCATTACAAAATATTTTGTTTATCATAGGTAGAAAGTGAGAAACAAGAAATATGGAGGAGAACACAACTTCTCTCCTTAAAAAGATAACTCTATTAACGGCCACTATGGGTTTTGCATCTATATCCGGTTTTGGGTTCACAATTGAACATATACCCATTTTGCAAACAAATTTGCAAGCCTATCCACTTTACGATCAACTTCAGACTTATCAGGTCTGATTTTAAAAAATTAGTCTGAAGTGAAAAAATTGCACTTCAGATGCACTTAAGGACAAATAGGTCTGAAGTGCAACCAATGGTTTCATGCACTTAAAGCCAATAAGTCGGAAGTGAAAAATTGCACTTCAGATGCACTTAAGGCCAAAAGGTTTGAAGTGCAACAAATGTTTTCCTACACCAAGACCAATAAGTCTGAAGTGATAAATTGCATTTGAGATGCACTTAAGGCCAAAAGGTCTTAAGTGCAACTAATGTTTTCATGCACTTAAGGCCAAATAGGCCTGAAGTGCAAATTGCCTAGAAACAGAAATTTGTTCTTCGAATTTTAACAATCCAATATACGATTTAATACCTAAATCTACTCCAAATGAGCTCAAATTTGAAACATAACCTTCAAATGTCATCAAGAACAAACCCCATAAAAAATAAAGCGCCACAATAACTCACCACTGCAAATATCATAAACTACCTTAAAATATGTTCACAAACACCATATAAAATCACGGATACCCGAAGAAGAAGATGGAGAAGAAGAAGAAGAAGAAAGAGGAGAAAAATGCCTGAAGTTGTTTAAACAGTGGGTACAAGTTAAAAAAATTTAAAAATGTGTACAGTTTAAATGAGGACGACCAAATAGGGCGCTCGATGTAACTTTTACGGGTAATACTATATACTAGTAGAAAGGAAAAATGGGATATATTTAATATATATATAAAAAAGCTCCTCACGAAAAGAAAGGGACCGTTAGAAACTAGAAGCTTGATTGAAAATTCATGGAGGAGCCTCAATATTAGACCTCTTCCGAGTCAGCATTTTGGTGCTCTAACTTTTAGCCTGTTTGGTCAAGCTTTTTCTGGGACGAAAGTGTTTTTTTTTAATTAAAAGTGCTTATTTTCTTCAAAATTTGAGGTGTTTGACCAAGCTTTTGAAAAGAAAAAAAGTGCTTTTGAAGAGACGCAAAAACAGTTTTGGAGAAGCAGAAAAAAGTTCTTCCATTTGCTCATTTGCTGGTTTATTTTCACCTAAATTATAAAAACCTCTTGGTTTAATTTCAACTACAATCTGCCATTCTTTTGCCATTGGATGATGGACATAAAAAACCTGTTGAGCTTGAGAAACAAAGATGAAAGGTTCATTTGACGGGTGCTGCCTTTTGTAGAGTAGCTGAGAAAATTAACAAGAGTAAATCCATAATCATCTTCCACAATAAGCCCCTTGTTGTTTTCCACCCATTCGCATCTAAATAGTATAAACTTGAGGTTTGCGGTATAATACAACTCAATTATGTTCGTGAGAATTCCATAAAAGGTGATTTCTGCTAATATGGGATTTCTGTCTCTTGCGCTTGCATAGCTCTGAGTGGCAGCCTTTACCATAACTCCACTATTTTATGTTTTTAGCTTTGCATCACGAGACTTTGTTAAGTATCTAACTCCATTTCTTATATATCCGTTCATCCTTTCTGCTTGATTTGATGGGCCAATAGCTAGATTTTGAATTTCTTCTAGTATTTGCTCACCTGCCATATGTATCTTCTCAACCTATAAGTAAGCAAGAACTAATTAAAAATTGATACTACAATATATATATATATATATATATATATATATATATATATATATATATATATATATATATATATATATAGTGTGTGTGTGTAAAAGCATTTTAGCTGGTTCACAATTACATGTTTTCTAAACCATATGTGAAATTTTTCATTGCGAATCTGATCACATCATGTCTAGATAGACGGGAATTTTGCTTCTTGATTTCTTTTATATGCTCACTGCAAAAGTAAAACACATAAAAACTTAATAAAAGAAATTCTAAATATTACTACTTAGTAATCAATTATAAAGCAGAATATTATTGAATACTTACTCGCGGTACGACGTTATGGTAGAAGAATTAAATAAAACATATCTGTGTGCTTGGGCATGAGTAATGTCGTCAAGCGTAAACCCGTCAATTTTAGTTGACTGACGACCCTCTTGATTTGGAATCTCATTATACAATCCATAATTTCTTAAAGGACGATTTAACTTTGTCTCCACATCATGTAGATAGCTTGAGCAGAATGTCATGCACTCTTCTATCAAATATCCCTCTGTAATTGAACCTTCTGGATGGCTTCTACTCCTCACATAATTTTTAAGAGTAAGAAAGTACCTAAAATAATAAATAATATGATAGTTTAATATAATACTTCATAAGTATAATAAATAAGAATAACAAAATGGTACCTTTCAAATGCCCACATTGAACGGTATTGTGGAGGTCCACCAATCTTTGCTTCTTCAGCTAAATGGATGACTAGATGTTCCATGATATAAAAAAAGATGGAGGAATTATTTTCTTCAAATGACAAAGAGTTATTGCAACTCGATCTTGGAGCTTTTCTAATTCACCTATGTTCATAACTGTTGAACAAATGCCCCTAGAAAAATTACTTAATTCGATCATTGGCTTAAGGACATTCATTGGAAGGAGACCTCGCAAAGCAGGAAAGAGTTATTGCATTAAAATATGGCAGTCATGACTCTTCAATCCATGCGCAGTGCGTTGCTTAAGATCAACACGGCGTGATATATTTGAAGCATATCCATCTGGTACTTTCACATCTCTTAAAACTTGTAAGAGCATATCTTTTTGTGCATTGCTCAAAGTGAAACATGCCGGAGTTAGATAGTATTTGCCATTAGCTCTTTTTTTTAGGGTGCAAAGCCTTTCGAATTCCCATCTCTCGTAAATCTAAACGAGAATTCAGATTGTCTTTTTCTTTCCCGTCAGCATTTAGTAATGTCCATAATATATTGTCAAATACATTCTTTTCAATATGCATTGTATCAAGATTATGATGAATCATATTGTCTTTCCAGTAGTCTAACTCAAAAAATATGCTCTTTTTCTTCCATAAATATTGCAACATGACATCATCAACATGATCAGAATTCTTCCATTCTCTTTTCTTGGATTTGGCCGATAATGTTTTTCGAAATTATTTTTAATACTTTCAATTGCTTAAGAACTTCAATACCTGAAAAACATTTAGGTGCTGCCTCTAACTCCTTAAAACATCAAATGAAACTTTATCTTTTCGAAACTTGTGCCCATGGGATAACCAACACCTGTGCGACATGAAGCAATATTTTCGCCCATATTTCAATCTCAGAAATTTAGTCTTGGTCAGACAACATGAACAAGCATATATAGTTTTCACACCATATCCTGATAAGTTACCTAGTGCTAGAAAATCACTGACTGTCCAAAGCAATGAAGCACGCATTTGAAACATATTATTCTTTGACGCATCATAAGTCTCAACACCAACCCACAATTCTTTTAACTCATCAATTGACGGTCGTAGATAGACATAAATATCATTGCCTAGTGCATGAGAGCCATCAATAATCATTCATAATATCATGTATGGTTGCTTCATGCACAACCAAGGTGACAAGTTATATGGAACCAAGACAACTGGCCATGTGCTATGTGAGATAGACGTAGACTTGAATGGATTAAATCCATCTGAAGCCAATCCAAGTCTAACATTTCGAGGATCTTGAGAAAAATCTTGATGCGATTCATCAAATTTTCCCCAAACAATACTATCAGCAGGATGCCGCATTACCCCATCTTTAGTGCGCCCTTCCGCATGCCATCTTTATCAGTAGATGTTTTAGATGATATGAATAATCTTTGAAGCCTCGGTATCAATGGAAAGTATATAAACACCTTTGCTGGAATTTTTGTGTTTCCAAACTACCAGATTCACCTACAAATTGTTTGTATCTTGGAGCTTTGCAAAACTTACAATCAGTTCGATCTTTTGTCTCACTTCAATAGATCATACAATCATTTGGACACGCATGTATATTTTTGTATTCGAGTCCTAAATCTTTAATAATTTTTTTTTTGCATCATTAAAGGACTTAGGTAATATTTCACCTTCAGGAAATACATCTTTTGACAACTCTAACAACATGGAAAATAAATTGTTACTCCACCATTTGAGACACTTTAAATGTAATAGACGAACAAGAAAAGAAAGGAGTGAATATTTGCTTCCAGGATATAATTCACGCTCAACTTCTTTCAATAAGTTAAAAAACTTTTCAGTTTTTATCAAATCCCACATTATGTTGATTTGACCCACTAAAACTATCACCACGAGTGTCCATATTAATAAAGCTACTAGTAGGAGGAACTCCAAAAGCATCATGCACCAAGCCTTGTATCTCATCACCTCTATCTAATCTATCCACAGACATTGATGAAGAAGATGCCTCACCATAAAAAATTCAATTAACGTAACTTGGTAGAAATCCATCAACCACAATATGTTCAACAATCAACTCTTTCGGGATAAATTTCATATTACGACACTTCCGACATGG